CCAAACTCAATTCCAGCTTTCCCTTTGTGATATGGAACCTTGTAGTAAAATTTCAGAAAGATCCATACACTTACACACAAGTTATTGTCATGAAACTAGAAAAATGCTTGTTTTTTGCCCCTTTTTTGGCCCCTAATTCCTAAAATTTTGAGGCAATTACCCCAAAATCAATCCCAGCATTCCTTTTGTGATATGGAACCTTGTGGTACAATGTCAGAGAGATCCATACACTAACACACAAGTTATGTCTGGAAGTTACAAAAATGCTTATTTTTGGCCCCTTTTTGGCCCCTAATTCCTTTACTGTTGGTACCATAACCCCCAAAATCAATCCCAACCTTCCTTTTGTGGTATTGAACCTTGTGGTAAAATTTCATAGAGATCCATTCACTTAAACTAAAGTTAGAGTGCGAAAACCAATGTGTCTTCGGACGACGCCGGACGACGCCAGACTGCATATTGCTACCTAATACCACCAAACACAGATCAGGTTTGAATTTGTGTGGCGTCAATTTCACCGTTCTCGAGTTATGTCCATTTATAAATGGAAACATTGCTCAATTTGCGATTTCCACTACACTAAATTAAGTTGCCTCGACATGTTATGAAACTTATTCACAATGATCAATACAACCAAACATAGATCGAGTTTGAATTTGGGTGGCGTCACTTTCACCGTTCTCGAGCTATGTCCCTTTATAAATGGAAAAAATGATAAATTTGCCGTTTCCGCACCTTAATTTTAGTTTGTCTCAACCAAATGTTATGAAACCTATACATAATGCTTGTTACCACTAAACACAGATCAAGTCGAATTTGGGCGGCGTCACTTTCACCGTTCTTAAGTTATGTCCCTTTATAAATTGAAAAAATTGCCGAATCTGCCATATATTTACAAGCGGGGCATTTGTGTCCCATATACGCATTCTTCTTTTAACCAAATGTTATGAAGAATAATTTTGCCATGGTATTGTCCGATTTTCTTTTTTTTTTTATTATTAAAACCTTGGTGTCTCCTCTCTCGTTGGACTTGTTTGTCTGTTCGTCTTTTTTCATTCTTTCATGATGTTGTTCGTCTTTCTTGTCCATAATGTTTGATACAGCTACAATGAGGCAACACACAAGGGATTTCCACGAGATCATTAAGGAATCTATTAAGAGAATAGCACAATGGTCTTCACACATCGGGATCACTACTACTTCGTTCCAGAGATAGCTACATACCGTTTGCAAACGTCGATTCTTATAAAAAAACGAAACCTGCAAACATGACCGAATCAGACAAACAACTGATGATCAGATAGGCCGAAAAGAACGGTAAATGTGTTTGCCAAAGAACAGTTAGGGGAGACAACACAAAGGACAGGACTTGAACGTTGCCCGAAGTGGCATATGAAACAACAGAATGACAAAACCAGCTTGACTTCAATTTTCCTTAACTGGCTCCATCTGTTGATGAAATGGAAGCATATGATGACGGCAATACTGATGACAATGATACGGAAAGTGAACATGATAACAGTACAAACAATCAGAACACGCACATAAGGAGTGGCCGAAATATAATTCCGAGAATCCGTATGAATATAGGACATTTGTCAAAAATCGAAATTAAACAATTCCATTAAACTAGCGATATTTTATTACACAAAAGAGTTCATCACACTGAGATGAAGTGATGGAATACTATTGCCGTCACTATTAAACATCGGAGAGGCCATTTTTGTTTGTATATCACATCAAATCAACGCTGTTTTCTCCAAATCCGTATAATTTCATGACAGTCAGTTTTAAAGGTACAGGAATCCAGAATGCCCAGAGTAAGTCACCGACCTTCGGTGAGTCACTGATAACTCTATCAAATGCATATTTTTTGTATCATTCCTTTAAATCTTTGACATCAGCAAGCTATTTATCGACCAATTTCCTTATATCTCGCCAACTGTAAGACAAGTGTAGCATACCGATGAGAGGGATAACAATTTTGTAATTCTGTAATTGCATGAATTATTTGATCTAATTAATATGTTAAACAGCGTAACAGTTGGCTTACCAATTAATGTAAACTTCATATCTGCATGTGATCGACTTTTAGAATGCTAAAAGTAATAAGCGGAGAATGGGAAACACAAAAAATGATAAGCGGGGTACGGGAATCTGACAAAATTATAAGCCGGATCCGAGATCAGACCCCCCAATGAGTCCCCCTTTCTTCGAATTCCGGTTTTTGCATTGCCCTACTGATGAACTGTTTTCATCCTTTTTTCATTGTAACTGACTTCAATACTGATGTAGATGGTTAATGTTATGATCATCTTTTTTGTTTAAGTTCTTTATTAATATTCATGAAGTCACCATCGGCAACTTTCCTGGTTGATCAATATGTTATCATGTACAGTATTTATCACGCAATGAGCTGTAAAATAAATATGACTTTGATATTGATTTTATCGATTAGTTTGACAAATAAACATGAGAAACATAATTACACATGATGAACTAAGAAAATGTATATGTATATACATATACAATAGATATGGTTGAAAAACTACCTGTGACTAATTTAAGGTTTCTTTCCTTTTAAACGAACATATTAAGTATACTGTTATAGAATTATCTTCTAAAGTTTAGCACAAACTGTTTATTGATTGGGATAATGATATAACAGGGCACACAGAGGGTATTTCAATATGAATCATAAAAATACAACAATAACGGATATAACGATAATATTAAATGCAAATACAAACCTTAAACAATTGAAGCAATACAAGTTCCAAGTATAATTTATATCTGTATTTTCTTAATATTCTAATTTCTAACTCTGTTGAATAAATAACTCACGTTTGCCTGCCCACTGATCTGTAACGTTTAAAATTTTTATGCTAAATTTAGGTAAGGGAATTTCCATTGATATTCTTCAAATTGACAACCATTTTGGATTTTTAGGCATTTATTATAATCACTAAGTTAAAATCGAAAGTAAGTGTAAATTAAACGCTTCAGTTGATAACGAGGTTATTTTAATAAGATTCAATATTTATAACTACTTAGTATGAAGAACATAACGATCCAAATTAACATCTGCCCTTTGAGCATTTGTTGTCACAAATCACTAAGTAAACAAAGAGAAGAAAATTTAAAATTTTCACAAAATACTTCCTTGATAAACTGTTTATTTTCTCTTCTATTAGAGGTTTACTTCCTTTATGAATATTTTTATTTTCTGAAATTTATTTATCAGCTACACAGTACTGCATGCTTCACCTATTTGGGCTTGATTGTGACACCACCCACACTTTGAATTTACGGGACATCCAAAAAATCTTCGTCGTCTATAAATAGTAATGACAGTTGGTATATTTTTTTCATTCATGATAATATGGTTATATTTTAAATAGTATGCATTCTCTTCAAATATCTTTTACACTATAATTTGACTTATCTCCAATAACCCAATAAATTAATCTAGAGTAATAATGATTTTGAATCACTCAATTAACTATTACAGAACAGCAATTGTTAAGAACATTTTGCCACTTGATTTATTTATCTCCATTTTCACGGAATTTCTCTTTTTAATGACTTTAAACTTTCCATTTTTTTCCTGCAGAATATTTTCTAGGACTAGATAATTTTAAGCAAAGCCAGAAGGTGTCACAAAGGCACAGTTATTAACCAAAACACTTGAACTTCATGGATATATTGTATATGTATTGCAGTTGCCCATCTGCTTTTACAGAATTGATTGAGGACTATTTAATTTTTCTCTTTTGTCCAGACAGAGACTTGCATATGGGAACTTAGTCTTTTTGTAAAGATTTTCAAAGGACGTCACCAATTTTGTGTAATCAACTTCACCTGCAGTTTTCTACCAATTAAAATTTCACAAGGTTTGCAAAGTTATTGAAGATGTGCACCTCCCATAGTGGAGTTTACTTGACGTGTAGATTTATTTCGTACTTTTTATATTTTATATCTCCATGTATTTAAATGTTCTTTCCGAAATTTGAACAGAAGCTTCTTCGTGATCAAAAGACCGTATCCAAAGCAAAACTATTATTTTTTTTCATTTTTCTGTATTTTAGTGATCAATTGACAAATCTGTTGCAACCATTAATAAACATATGTTGATATCAAGGACTCGTTCAATTTGTCCTCAATATAACATTAAGAAGATGTGGTATGATTGCCAATGAGACAGTTCTTCACCAAAGAACAAATGACGTAGAAGTTATCAACTATAGGTCACTGTACGTACGGCCTTCAACATGTCAAGTACAGCTGACCATTGATCATTTGTCCTATTTAGGCGCATTTGAGTTTTATATTCACAAAGGTTTTCTATATTTTTGCCTCTCCGAACTTTTGATCAAAAGCGTACATGATGAAGTTGTTCCAAATTTAAGAAAAACGCGCTGTGCACATGTAAATTATTCAATTGGCTACGGTTTTTGAATTTTTTGTTTCTGTTTCTTCATTTTTATTTTGTCTATCGAAATTTTGGTTTTGGTGTTATTTTCTTTTGTTATCAGTCGATCGTGTCCCACTTTGCTATGCCATATCCTATAGTTTATTTATTATTGCATATTCATGGATGTACACAATTTATTAACTGGCCAGTTCACATTTTGATTAGTAACCTAAGTTCCTTTGCATACTTTGATATTAAATACATGTTAAAATGCAGCTTTTGTAGTGTAGTTTTGTAGGATTGATAAACTATTTGTACATATTTACCAGAAAGATCAAGGCTATAAAACATGATGCTTCAATCAATCATTTTAATTTTGTTGCTCATAAATTGTAATGTTTTAACTTATAATCGACCAGTATGCGTGATAAGAAATTTTAAATATGCAAAACCGTTCTACTTTCAAATGACGCTGAATTTCATAGCATTGACAATGTACATATCTCCCTTATGTCCAATGTAGTGTAATGAAACTACTATATGAAAAGAGTTTTAGAAATATCATGATGTTTCCCTTTTTATGCAGTTGATTTTGTTCAACACTCATATGAGACAGGCTGTTCAGATCGGGAGATGACCAAAGACAACATTATTTAACAGCAATTTTTAAAGCAAGGTTAAAATGACGTACTGTACTGATCGTAGCAGTGGTTATAGTTCATTACACCCAATAAATAGCTATCAAGCTCAAGTTTCCGATCATTTTTGTGAAGAAAACGATACACTCTTGCGAGTTGTACCCGTTCAAAGTTTAGATCATATAGAACAAAGGTCCGAAATGGTCTGTACTGGTAAACAAAGAGGCTTCACTGGTTATCCATCTGCTTCAAACGGTCAGCTAGATGTAAATGGAAGTGACAGTTTTGGTTCTCAAAATGGACATTGTGATTCAATAGATCGTGATCTTGAAGAACGATATAATGCAGAACAGGAATTTCAACGAAAAGCAGCAGAACAGCATGAGAGAAAAAGAAAATACTTATTCACACAAGAAAAGAACGTTTTGTACGAGCGAGACACAGACACAGAGTCGAATAAAAGAGTTATCCCTCCAAAGTTTAGAGCGTACAGTAAGGAAGACATCAGAGAGAGGTCTTTTGTAGGATTTAATTCGGCGTCTAAATGGACAACATTAGTTTTTGCGATTTGCGGTTTCTTTTATAAAGGTAAATTGTGTTCAACTTTATGTAAGTTTGTTAAGAAATATATTACTATCTTTCATTTTTGTACAGTAAATAAAAATGGAGATGTTGTATGATTGCCAATGAGCCAGCTATTCACCAGAGATTGATTAAAGGACAAGGATATTAACAGCTATAGGTCACCGTACGGCATTCAACAAAGAGCTAAACCATGTAGGGTATGAAAGGTTCCGGTATGACAAAATTTTAAGCAATTCAAAAGAGAAAACTATAACTGTCTTGATTCATGCGAAAACAGTAAACGAAAAACAAATATGACAGACTGCAACAATAAAAACCATTGAATTACACGCTCTTTTCAGGTTCATAACGTAGCTATATAGATGGCAGGGTTATGGTTATAAGCCCTCAACACTCCCCCTAGGCTAACCTGGGATATATCTAATTGGGATAATAACAAGATAAAATAATACAATATGAACTGAACATTAAATGTACTATAACTGAGTGAAAATGTAAACGTGTATGTATAATTGCAGGATTTTCTGACATCACGGCTTGCTACCAATGCGGATTTGTATACAAAAATTGGCAAAAAGACGAAGATCCTATTCTTACCCATATAAAAAATCAGCCGAACTGTCAGCATATCGAAGACCTCAAAAGAAAGAACATTGATTCGTGTAAAGAACTTGTCAATGATTCAGAAAATGTAAGTTGAGCGTTGCACAAAGTGGAATTCCAATTTTTTTGCTGGTATACATTGGATTCTTATTTATACATATTAAAGTGCATGTTAATCAGAACTCCAATATCTAATAGCAGATATTAGATTGTACTGGGAGGTCCTATGATCGTGTAATGAACTAGATGAATAGTCATAAACGCATAATTCATGATAAAAACGATATAATTTACTATAATGAAATAACCTTTTTCAGTTCTAATCCCGATCATCTGCATTCCTTCAAGCAAATGTCATAATAGTGCTTATTTCGCTCTCAACACATAACAGTGAAAAATCATTGGAATTTCTAAATCTAGCCACAATTCGATCATGGACTCAGCATCAGTCAAATATTTGAGAGAAGCCACAAAAAAATAATTAGAAAAAACGTAGAATTTGACATGAGTTGAATTTTAATTGTAAATTACAGCAGATGACACTGTTAGAATAAAAAAATCACAAGGTTGACAGAACAAATACAGATTAAAAGCCACTATGCAAAAGTCTTAAGATCAATAGGATTATTAATAGTTCTAAATCAATTTAGAAGATTTTTTTTAGAAGATGGCAGGAAACAGAAGATGGTCTTGTTGATTCTTGTAAAGTCTATTTCTTTGAGCTTTGAGATCAATTTTTCGTCGATTTATATTGTCTTGAAAATACAGTAAAACAACTCACCCTTTTGTCAAATATCTGAAGTATCTATGCCAGTTTACTTGCTTTTTGTGGGAAAATTTGATAAAACAGTTTACACTTGAAGATATGCTTTATATCTTTACGCTGTTAATAGCAGCACTGTTGATAAAGCAAATTAAATATTACATTTGACGTTATTTTCATGTAAATGTGAGTGATAAAACAGTTGAATAAATTTCATATATATATATGGAAAGTTTTTCATAAGTGAAACACATAGAGAACATACAGTGTTACATATGTATGTTTTTGTTATAATTTTTTTTATCAAAGGCTTATAATTGTATCAGTGGCGCTCGAATTTATACACTATAAAGGCCAAATCCAATACGAAGTTGTAGAAAATTCCGAAAAGTTGTGCCAAATACGGCTAAGGCAATCTATTTAAAGGGGTCAGAAAAATCTTAGTTTTTCGAAAACTTCAACATTTAACAGTGAATTTACAGAAAATGAACACATCAATGATATTTCATGTCAGCACAGAAGTGACTACTGGGCTGGTGATATTCTCTGGGACGAAACGTCACTATCAGTGACGTCTAGTCTGAGTCTACCCAGTGGTTGTGTGGTTACAAATTTTAATGGTTGAAAACACTTAAGTATACCATTTTGAAGTCATAATACGGAAAAGGGTAAACAATATCTTTATTTGATGGAGATTAAAACTGAGTATTCTCAGTTTTTTAAGATATTTACAAAACCCTAACAGCTTTGTTACTGTTTGTTTCAATTATGGATTGCCCCGTAGAGACCCAAGGCAATTCTATTGTTTACTAGTACCTGAAATAATACTAATGAATTGAAATATTGTTGAACTTTAGTTTGATGAAAAACTCCGTGCAAAGGAGATTCATTTTTACATTATAACAATTTCACGATTGTCTTTGCTCAAAACTTATATTTTCTCTGATTGGATATATTTTTTATGTATTTTAGGACGTTGAAATGGCAGGTAAGATTTTATTCTCGAAACAAAGTAATTTAGATATTTGATAGAGAAAATGATTGTTGATGCAGTGGCGAAGCAAAGCAGTTATGAGCAACATTTCCCGTTCCTTGTTAAAATGAAGGGGAAAAAACCCAAACAATTGAAGTATATATTTCAAAGATATTTAGACGATTCGATCGGGCGCTAGATAAAAGACTACAACTTGGATCTTATTTTTTAATACATACAAATCAGCAATGAAAGACACAATTTGAAAGAAAAAAAAAATATTGTTTTCACAGTTTCGTACTTTTGACTTATGCCGAGGGTTTCCGAAGTATTATAAAAGAAAGTGATAGGATTTGTGTTCTTCTGACAAGGGGGACATTGCAAAACTAGTTATTTTCAATGTAGTTGTTGTGGACAAATATTTATGCCATTTGTTTACAGTGTACATGCGACTGCAGTCCGAGACTGCTCTGACGTCTGACAGTCTTCTACGGATTTATTGGGCCGTCCCAGGCCCTAGTAAATCCTACTAGACGGTCCTAGCTAATTACAAAAAGGCCGTCAGACGTCAGAGCGATCTCGGTAAAATGCTAATGACGGTGTTTTTTGAAAATGTAAAAACTACTTAAAAAATATGAATTTTTGGAAAGCTTGGGTAGATTTCATGGCGTCAAGTTAATATCAAGATCATCAAATATTTGTTTTTTTTTTAAATAGTCAACGAGACATGCGTTTTAGGCATTTTATGCAGTAATTTTTATTTATCTTTAGGTTTTTTTTTTGAGTATTTATTTATTGATAGTTATATTTTTCTGTGAAAACCAGTTTAAGCACATACGAAAATTATGTTTAAAAAAAACATGACCAGACATTGAGTTTTGTTATAGCATACAGATTGCAGTATAAACAACGCCTATACTGTTGTAACAGTTACTTTTTCGTCTTAGAGGGGACTGGGCCTATATCAAACGCGGATAGCTACATGTAATATCAATATAAACAAAAGGAAATACAGACAAAAATAGCCAAAAGACTGATAGAGGTCAACATACGGTCTACAATAACGAACATATATAAATTTATCTAATAGTTTGATGGTGTACTGAAAAAAAAGCTCATCAATATACAATACGGCGATGTGGTATGATTGTTAATGAGGCAACGTTTTAACAGAGTCCAAGTGACGTGGATTTAAGCAGCTATCAACCTTTGTTGCATCTGAAACCGTATAAGTTGTTAATACAAACAAAACAATATGTTTGTCCCCCGTGCGACGCGTTGCGGGGGACATAGAAATATCCATCAGTCCATCCGGTCTTGTTAGCGCTCTCACATGTACAATTCTTACCAGATTTTTATAAAATTCATATCATAGATTTATATCAGCATTGTCTTGGAAATGTTCGAAAATCAGTGCTGATCAACAATTTTTAAAAAGAGTTATGCCCATTGGAAATATTAATTATATGGACAATTGCATTGTAAGCGCTCTCACGTGTACAATTTTTGCCAGATTTTTATCAAATACTGTTAATGCTATCTTAATTTGCCTCTACTGTTAACCTTTAAATGATTTATTGGCTTTACAGAAGTGACAACAGCGACAGAGAACCTATCAATCAACCAAAACGAAGCGATTGATCCTAGACTTATTTGTAAAGTATGTTTGGTCAATAAACTCGAGTTTACAATACAGCCATGTGGACACTTGGTGATCTGTCATTCTTGTTGTCAGCTACTGTTTAGTCAGAAAAAGCCGTGTCCAGTTTGTAGAGGACCAATTGAAAAAGCCATCAGAACATTGATTCCAGAGTGAATCAAGTTTTCTTCTTTTTTTTTCGTTTGAATATTTGATTCTTTAAAAAAGAAGAATTTCGCCTATGAAACATAGTGTTATATCCTTTTTAGATATTGTTTTTTAATGTCAACACTTTGTATTAATATATGTTTTATATATACGTTTTTAAAGCAAGTTAAATTGCATAATCAATATCAATCGATTATTTAATTGTTGGAAACTAATAGGCTTTCTTTAATAAAAGATAGATATGTATATACACATAAAAAATTTAAAAACTAAATAGAAAAGAAAAATTCCGAACAGAAGATTTTGCTTAATGCTTTTATTTCCATCGACACAGATCGCATTAATTGAAAGCGTTTTATGGTTGAATAGTATTTTTATTCGTCACATGCATAAGAAACCACTTTTCTCTGTTTCATTTTTTCGTATGCTTGTTTTTATTTATACGAAGAAGTATATATTAACAGTCAGAGAAAAACATGACTTTACAGCAATGTCAAAAATATAGGTATCGACAGATTGTAGTACCGTGAAGGTACATACGTGTTATATTTAGTATGGTTTTAATCTACTGATAACAAAATCAATATTTTTACCAATAAACACAATATTCAAAGATTTAGTTAGAGTGTTGAATGGGTTATCTTTTAGAATAAGTTTATCTAAAGGATTGATAAGTTTACCCGGATCGTACATAAATTTCCGGGCTCGGTTTACAACATCACCGTAAAATTTATGATGTGCTATTCCGTTTCAAATAAGTTTTCTACAGGTACAGTCAAACTTGCAAACCAAATCTTTGTTTGCATGGTTTGAACCCAATCTATGATTGATTCTTAGCAATCCAAAACTTGGGGGGATCTCAGGTGCTCCGGAAGGGTAAGCATATCCTGTCATGTTGCTCATGTAAATACAAACCGGGTGATACGCCTAATTCGGTAGGTCGCATTCGGGGGAAATTTCTTTTTAATGAATTGTCTTCATATACCAATACAATGCAGACCATTTTTTTGCCAGGATTTTGTGTGTGTATTTAATGTACTTTTATTTTATGTTGTAAACCTTATGTATATGAGATTAACCTCTGGAAATAAAGGTACTTTGGTTAATTTTTTTTTCAGTATGTGAATTCTGAATATCATACGATCGTCTTATAGTTTTTTTGACTACTATATATTTGCAGACTAAAATTCTTAAACATCCCAGTTTTTCAAATTTACATTTTTTTCAGGATGTACAAAATTTTTGTTAATATATGATATAAACGAACTCTGACTATTAATTTCATAATTTTTGCTCTGTAATTCAATAGTTCTCCAATAAGTTCTCTTTGTTAATTTTATATTTTGAAGTGTTAAATATTTGATCATCTTCGCTAGCGAAGTGTTACGATCCAGTCCCCTCCTCTCCACCATTGGCGGGTTAAGGTAGAATTTCGGATCCATGAGGTAATGATTTCCATTGGTCACAGTTGTAACTGCCTGCGTTCAATCCAAAAACATCTTTAAGATGATCACATGCAAATGTAGAAAAGTAAATAAACAATTGATTGTGCAACAAGTCTTTACCCCCAAAACATAGGTCGATATGTAGAGACATTTTAAAGTTAAAATTCACTAATTGAAGATCCTGGGTATGTTGTTCGAGCAAATGTTGGAATGTCAACGTATATTTTCGGTTCCTGCTTCTCGAAATTTGTATACACTAGACAGAAACATTTTACACCTCTACACTGAAGCTAGTTCAAGTGCTGCAATTGATGTAGTCGGAATGGACGTGACTTTTATCGACCGGCAGATGGCGGAGCATTATAATCACAAATGTTAGCTTAGTCTGCAAAGGATGGAGAGGAAGGGACTGGATTGTAACACTTGGCTAGCGAAGATGATATTTGATAGATAGAGTAAGTATAAGCAGAACAAAAACAACAAACATGTGCCTCGAATGTAAGTTTCATTGTACTCCATCAAGTGTTTAATACTTCAAAAAATAAAATTAAACATTTTTATCTCTCACAATATCTTTCAACAGATTGCAAATTCAACAGTTAGCTAACGTTGTGTCTTAGTTGGGTTTTTTATTACTATATGCTTAGGCATGGAATATAAATATTAAATATATGGGTACACATGTTATGTCTGAATTCATATATCTGAAATTTGCATCCATATTAACCATAAACACCATATGTTAAAGGAAATTAATTTAAAAATGAACGGGGAATCATTTTAGATTTGTATTGCATTTTGCAACTTTAACCAGGAACTGATGAACATTTAGTCAAGTACATTAACAACGTCACCATCACCACTCACATCATTGTGTAAACTTATTTCTTTTCACGGGTAGTAACCTCGTCATATCGAGAAGCGTTTAGTACAGTGATTTTGTCATAGTTTGGTTAAGACTAACATGGTTGTGTTAAGTGTTTTTGATGACAAACAGTGTCAAAATATAAACATTCGAATAGTTTATTAAAGGAACTAATGACAACAAATTCAAGCTGGTTAAGTATCTTTGTTTATAGTTAATATGTTAGTACATCAAAATTTGTATCATATAGTTATTAATTTGACACAGAATAATGCTTGCGTATGTCAAAATTTAAAAGTTGTGATTCGTTTCTATTGAATAAAAAAAAGTGGTTTGCTTACTGTCTGCTACATCACATATTTTGTTATGATATAAAATTGCCGTCAATTTTCCTGAAAAACAGCCCCTACTGCACACAATTTGAGATTACAGAATATTCGGTGTCATGGTTTGGTTCATTCGTGTCATGGTTTATTTCATGTTGAACATGGTTCAGTTATGTGATTCTATTCGTGAATGAAGGAAGAGTAACGATCAAAATAAACAGACATTATATATATTGAAATACTCTTTTTTAAATCGTTTTATTTGGAATACAAAAGGACATATATACGCACATTCAATGTAGTATTATATATATTAAGTACATGCGGTCTGATTGCCAATAACTATTCATCCAAGACCAAAATGACATAGATGTAAGCTACTATATGTCGTCGTACGGCCTTCAACAATGAACAAAATCCATACCTTTTAGCAAGCTATAAAAGGCTCCGACAAAATTATATGTAAAAAAAAATATAATTGAAAAAACCAATGTATACAATATTACAAAAACATAATCATTTCTATTCGTTCGTAATAATAATTGATAAAAGTGGACATTAAATCGGCTTCATTCTAATTCGGAATTGTGATTTTTCATATATTTAAATTCGGAACTTGTGTGTATTTTTTTAATTTTTATTTTAATTTTACTAATAGTTTATAAAACATATAAGTTTTAACTGTTGTCCATGTCACGCGTTACCATTTTGTTTCGTGGATGGTTGAAGACTTATGGTGTCCTCTTGATATCGTTTGGTTAGTTTTGTAGTTGGGATACTATAGCATGGGCGTATAACCCGAAATCTCCTTTTATTCATCTGGTTCAAAATAAAACAACAGATATATAGTTTAGTAGAAAAAAAATACTTTTTGACTAGCTGATACGTTTTGCAACTTTAAGTAGACGTCTTTACAAATTTTACAAGTGATGCCGCTCACGATATCGTCGACAGAGTCAATCATGGACAAATGGAGAAAATAATCTATGTGAAACAGAAGCAGCGCTTTCTGTTTTTGTAATTATTATCTCAAAAGATAGTTTAAAAGAGCAGTGAATATTTGAATCATAAAAGCAAAATAACAAAAATACGGGACTTCGAGGAAAATTCTAAACGGAAAGTCCCTAATCAAATGACAAAATCAAAAACTGAAACACATCAAACGAATGGATAACAACTGTCATATTCCTGACTTGGTACAGACATTTTTTTTTCTGTAGAAAATGGTGGATTAAACCTGGTTTATAGCCAGCTTAAACTCTCACATGTATGACAGTCGCATAAAATTCCATTATATTGACATCGATGTGTGAACAAAACAAACAGACATAATAGGTAAAAATGTCAAAAATAAGGGTACAGCAGGCAACATTGTGTTATAATCTTAATCACTATAAAAACAAAACAAATATTTCAACAAAGAAAAACAAAAAGGCATATAGACAAAGCACATAAGCAAAAACGAAAGACAAGAATACAAAAATTTACCATAGCACTATAACACAATGACGGGATGTATAAGTACCGAGCCACGTCAAATGCATTGGGGCAAAAATAGACTCAACAGTTAAAGTGATGATTTACAAAGACAATAAAAAAAGAGTGCCACAACACGTCATTAAGGTGACAAACAACGTCAGTACTTAGAATCTATACTTAAAGACCATCGTTTATTATTTGTGAAGTTGAAAAGGAATATTTACCCACAAGGTCTTCCGATGAACTTTTTTGGAAAAAGGACGAGACGTTCTTTGACATACCACTGGTTCATCAACTTTCTGTTCCGACACTGGTGACGGTTTACAAAGTCTGAGTAGCATCTGCAAGCTCTTGCATATCGAATGAGTTGGGAAATGTATATCCCATATGCAGGAGAAGTTGGTATATTGATACTGAGGTTGGAGAAACTGATAATTTTAAAATTAAAATCGTCTCGTTTGTCATAGATTCTAGTACTAAGATGACCGCTCGTGTCAAATTCGAGGTATAATTGTCTAAATATAAGACAGAGGAAGCCGTGTCTGTTGTTCCTTTAATTTCTAGTTCTGGGGGATATATTAATGGAATTCAATCAGAAAAGTCTGGATTGTTAATGGAAAGAACAATATTTATGAATGTGAAATTAAATGATCTGGCTTCTTTCATCTTCTTGTTTTTTTTTACAAATGTCTGAAGAAACTCCGACTCATATGAAGATAAGAAGAGGTCGCTGCCGCACAGTTCGCTCCCATAGAAATACCGACAATTTGGTGACAAAGTCGACCTCCAAATTCAACAAATATGTTGTCAATAAGAAACTCCAGCATACTGGTCACTTGTTCCTCTGTGTAGCATGTTTTATTTTTTGTTCACTATTAACAAAATATGCCGTATGGTATCCAAAAGTAATAAATAATTTTTATGTTGAAAAGCATTGTAGATTTAAATTATTTCTTTTAGACGATGTTTCAATTACACATAGGGAATGGTGGTATACAAGTTTGAAAAATTAAAAGTTTTTATAGAACTAATTTCAGAGAAAAATCGAGATTTACATTTATTCAGAAGGTCTTTAAGAGATTTTTAAAATCCACATATGGTTAATACCACTACACGAGTAAACAGTTTCACAGTATTTCTGAAAACCCTCTTTCATTGCGGAAAGAATCTTTGTCAATCTAATGGACAATTCTTTCGTCGAATATGCAGATGAGCTGGCAATGTACGGCTGTTTGTATGGAATTTTGTGAAGCTTAGGTATCCAATACAAACAAGGTAAGTCATCCGATTTGCTGCTCAAGGTAATGTTTATTGAAGCTATTAAGGACTTATGAATCATCAAAATCTCATTCTTGTCAAATGATGTTTTTGTATGTGGGATTACATGAGTGATCATTTATTCATAATTCTTTTACAAGACACTCGTAGAAGTACGATTTGCATTCAAAGACAAGTCACGAACAGTTAAATTGTTTAATGTACGCTTTGCCAATTACAGCATCTAATTTTGGTTTAAAAGGCTTTTTTTCTTCTTAGTCAGTTCGTAAATTATGTAACTTCGTTTAATTACAAGCATTTTTAAACAAACTATCAATATTGAGCTGAAACACATATATATTAATTTGGATCTAAACCATGACAAACTTGATCAAAACCATGACGAATTTTTAGACACTTAACCGAACCATGTCATAACTTAACCAAACCATAGCAATTTCGATAGTTTGCTTATTCTGCGTTAGTTTCTTGAAAACAACAATTCCAATGTAGATCGTTTGACTAACAATGCAAATTAAAACATCTTATTTGCTTTTTATTTTCTCGTTTGAAAAGAACTGAGGCAATCGTTCGGGGAAGTAACTTAACACAACCATGTTCATCTTAACAAAACTATGACAAAATCACTGTACTAAACGCTTCTCGATATGACGAGGTTACTACCCGTGCTTTTGGTGACTCAGAAAAACAGCTACAAGGGAAAATAATTAAAACTTATATATGTTGATTGGATTCGTGGCAAGTTTCAATATACTAAATATACCTTAAACATGTGTTTAAAATCTTTAATATTAGATCAAAGTTATAGCATGATAATGTATGATTTATTAAACTATCTTTCCAACTGTGTTATTTGAAATATATATGTCTTTACAAGTCTCGAAATTTTCCAATTAACAACAAGTTAGTTATCAAGCACTTCGTTCTTTTACTATTAACGATTTAAATTTACTTCTGTCAATGTTGAAAAATGAATAAAACAATATTTACCAATAGTTATTTTAATCATTAATTTAAGATTTAGGTTGTCGAGACAATTATCATTCCAGATGTATGCATGATATGATATTTTCGCATGCATAGGATATTCTTTCTGAAATAAATAAATATGTTTTAAGTATATAATGCAATTCCTTTGTCAGGGACTTACTTATTTCAGTAAGCACAATTGATCCCTACTAATCACTATGAACACTCATCAAAGATATCAGCTTTTCTATTTGGTACAACAGATGCGCGTTTCGTCTACATTAGTCTCATCGGTGGTGATCCAATTAAAATAGTCTGAAAGCGATATCACATACAAAGTTGAAAAGTATTTTTAACCGAAAATTCCGAAAATGTGTGCCAAATACGACTACGGCAATCTATAACTTGGGGTAGAAATATTTCAACATTTCACAATCATTCTCCATCTATTCTGTGCTGTCAACTATTCACCAACATCAACATTTAAAGTTATGTGTATCTAAATTTTAAAAAATGCGACAGCATTGACAGAAGCGATTGTCCGTTATACGATTTTACTTCTTTTTTTTAATAATTATTAGGAAAGGTTGCCTCAATAATGTAGTGATCGCATTAAGTTAATAAAATCTAATAAAACTCTTCTCAGTTTGCCATTATGGTCAAATTTGAAGAAAAAAAACCCAATATGCTGTTTCATTCTTTCCATCTTGTTGATATTTTTGTAAGAATACATTTGGTCTAGTTTGAGGTCGTATATAGACAGAGTATTAGCTAGTTCCTGGGACATATATAGCCAGCAGAAAACTAGATGAGCTAGGAATTTGTGAGCATACAACCATTGTTAATTAGTTTTATGCAAACATTCTTATACCTGCTGTTCTTATAGTCGATCGTCTTATTTAAAGACACATGCTAATATTACTTGACAATTTTGTTAATATAGTTTATATTTAATATTACTAATTACCGGAATATCTTGTGAATTTGTTTCATTATTATTGATTTCGTCCTTGTTTACAAAAAACCCCAAACATTGAAAAACTGTTTTCTTTTTGTAATTGTAAAATCAGTTTTTCCACCGGATAATAACGTATTAAACAGGCACCGTCTAAAGTTTTATATTTGGAAGTTGTATAACAAAATCTAATGCATCGATAAGATTCTGAACACGGACAGAGAGAGAAGGGGTTTTTGTTATTGTAAAGTTTTATCATTAAGTATAAATAAGAAGATGTGGTATGAGTGCCAATGAGACAACTCTCCATCCAAGTCACAATGTATAAAAAGTAAACAATTATAGGTAAAAGTACGGCCTTCAACACGGAGCCATGGCAAGCTATAAAGGGCCCTAAAATGACTAGTGTAAAACAATTCAAACAGGAAAACCAACGGTCTAATCTATATAAAAAAAAACGAGAAATGAAAAACACTTCTGAACCACACCAACAAACGACAACCACTGAACAACAAGCTCCTGACTCATATAACCAAAAGAAAACACTTTTTTAAATATTGAGTTATAATACATGTATCAAAATTTCATTAATTGTTTCCTGGACTGTACAAAGTGTAAATTCGGCTATGGGGAATGTTGGTTTGGTGCGTAAAAATTGTGAACCTGCCTTGATTAAGCGTCTACACCTACATATTTCATGCCTGAACCCTCAAACTTTGCATTACTCATTTTGTTAAAATTTACACCTATAATTAACAGTTTGTAACAGTTTTGATTAAAGCTATTACAGTTTGTTATGTTGCGAGCTAATTCTTGAAGTACCATACCATTATCAGAGCCTTCAAACTTTTTAGGATTTGTACATATGTTCCAGTCCATATGAGTGTTTCAACCATGCATGTATGATCATGTGATCATTATGGGTATACTCCTATTGTCATATCAAACGCGTTTATCACAAATAAGGTTGATTTTCATAAAGATTCTCGATAATGATGTCACATTGTTTAGAAATTCGGTCTGTTTGGCCTTTATTTCCCGATAGACTCAATTTTTCCTTAGGTATGCTTATTCGTAGAGATTGATTGATACAATTTATTCTAACTTTCATTTAAATAGATGCTCCGATAAGCATTTCAAATGTAACTATTATTGATTAAATATTTATTTGGCATTTCAGGTTACAAACCATAAGTTTTGCAATCCTCCATTTAGATTAGAGAACAAAATACAAGAAGAAGAAGAAGAAGTACCCCCCAAACAGCCATAATAATCTATTTATAATGATGAATACAATAACGATTGCATACGTATATATGAATCCACAAAAAAGTTTTGTTTTGTCTTCTAGGTAACTCATCGATAAATTTAAAATCAAGTCACCAGGAAGTTCCACTTTTAAATAGATTTGATCTTTTCCTTCTTTCGTCTTTTTCCCTAGAAATATAAATAGACTTGCCACATCCACGTTTAGTTTGTGGTGTCATAGAGTAAAGCTATAATTACAAAGTATTAAAGATGGGAAGTAATGAACAGATACTGAAATTGTATCTCTCCAAGGTCAGTTTATTTTTATACAGCCAAGTTTGGTAGATTAGTCAGTAATTTAAATTATTTAATCAATCTCTAATTTTCTTTTCATTTTTTTTTTATCGTTAACCAAATGCCTTTATCAACTATTGCCATCATTTCGTCCATCGCTTCATCTTTTTTCTCACCGGGCAAATCTAAATCAAACTTGGCCACAATCTTACTAAGGTTATCTTGTTCGGAAAATGTTTCCTGTATGCCCGTAGAGCAAAAAACAAATATCCGCTTTAGCCAATAACATTGACGGTACCAATTTTAAGGCTTCTGATCTAAGGCTGATGTATCCAAGACTAAACATGATAATTTTTCATTCCTTCTTTATATGATACTACCGTACAATCAATGTTGATATCGTATGACCTCTTTATAAAAATTAAATGATATTAAGAATTACATTTCATCAATTATTCTTAAAAAAGGATGAAAAAAATTAAGTAGACAGTGCAACAAAGAAAATGTAAAATGATCAGGCAAAGACATATAATTAGACTGAATTTAAACTGTATTTTGGAAGTGACAAAGATTTTCTTGTTGGGTGTGTTGTTTGGTGTAATCAAAACAAGTGATTTTCAACCATTTAGAACCCTATTCCCATTTCCACCAAAGTCAGAAACAAATCAGTTTTTAGCAAAATAACATACCCGAATCTGTAGAAAACTTGACGAAGAAAGTGAAAACCATCTCCTTCTTGAAATTGTCAATATTTATGTCAGTGATAATAAAGAGTTGTCAACTTGAACAAACTGCATTTCATCGTAAATAACAGTTTAAACATTTAAACAAGGATTGAAGATAAGAAGAAAACAGAGGTTTCAATAAGTTTAGAAATAAAACTATTGTGATGTGTGTTCAATATAAAAAAGGGAAGTACATGAACTTCAAACTAAACAATCGGGGCAGCAACAGGCGTCGACAGCGTAAGAGTCTCCTTCTATTCATGACCGCAATACGAATCCATACTCAATCAAAATTTCAAGCTAAGGAAAAGAACGCCATCGGTTAATTTAAAGATCAGACGACTTCTCAGGTATCTGTCATATATTCTTAGTTACAGGTGTACATCTGTACGTGTCGGTTTCAAGAAAAGGATACAGATACGAAGTTGACCTTCTTGTTTCAGTTTTATGTATAACGCTCCATTGATCGCATATATGAGATTGCAAGAACTCGTAAAGTTTGATATTGTGTTTCTGAATTTTAAAACGAAACAAAAAGGATAGGAAGATAACAAAGGAACATTCAAACCCCTATGAGTCGAAGAGAAACTCACAACGGCATGGTAAAAACCGAAAACATCAAAAGACTTACAAGTCAACTAAACACCACAGAGAAAACACCAGAAGCTGAGCATGATCTCATGTGAGATTACAGCAAGATAGATCAATCTTATTTATATACAAAATATATGGCACATGTCATTACATTGTTGTTTTCAATTTTGTTCGATGCAGTTTCATGGGGAAAACTTCAGTTACCAGTATTTCACTTAAATGAAATACTCTATTGCAATTTCAGTACAAATGTGCAGATCTAGCAAAACAGGACATTTTGGGAGTATTTTCCCAATATAAAGACTTGAGACCAAGCCACGGACCGTTCAGTAAGTAATATTTAAGAGCAAGTGAAGAGAGTTTCTTTAACTCAAAACAAAACTACGTAAAAAAATCACTATAACGTTTTAGAAACCGGTTGTATCTCTTTCTAGTTTTTGTTCTCATGAGTGGTAGTAAGTATTCATCAAACAGCTGTGGCTACATAAGCAAGTTTTCTGTAGAAGCGAGTAAATCATTTATCCTACTTTTTAAATTATGCGCTAAAATTTTCCCTTGTACAAGTAGGTGGTCATCTTGTTTGTCACTGCCCTATGGAGGTTTTTTGTATGTGTTTTACTTTTACGACATATGGTCTAGATAGCCAAAATATGCTAAACTCCATACTATTTAGCTTGTATCACATCACACCATCTGGAAAATATTTTGTTTATTGTTGGTTATTGTTGTTTTATTTATGTGTACGTCTATTTCTCTTTAGGAGTCGGATGTTGATGTAATTTATTCTACAGTCGAATATACTGCGTGATTCATATGATCTTTTTTTCGGTATCAGGATGGTGTAATAACTGAAATCTACCTAAAATCGGGTAAATTCGTATGTGCCGGACTTAATACAACGTTGATATACAATAAATTCTTTAGTTGGTGGTATAAATTCTACCAGAAATTTGATATAACAAAATATTAACTTACGTTTGGCAACCTGCAGGTTCTAATGTTTGTGAATATTCATGACCAAAACATCAACAAATCATAGTCGACATTTGAACAATAAACATACAAACTATTTTTAATTGTATTATCAAATATACCCCAAAAGCCTTAGTTGTTGGCTATTGAATGCAAATGTTGATAAATGCAAGCATTGTACTTAAATTTGGACTACAATTTTGTATTCCCTTTAAATGTTCTATATATTAAACTAGTGTTGTGATTAGTCATGTATTTTGAGTACTAGTATTTCTTTCTAAATATAATAGCTTAAACCTTTTATTTCAGTATTTAATGATGGTTCACGAAAAGATCTGGTTAACTTAGATGGAACTATACCAGTAAATTATAGAGGTATTTCTTTTTAGTTTGCTACACGACCTAATGTACACGTTTTCATTTGTATGTTTACACATTCATGACTTGTGGATTTGGTCTTTTTGGCTGTTGATGTCCTGTTTGCTCCTAAAATATTGAAGTATTTGTACATCCCTGGCTTTAAATTATTTGCGTTTGAGAGTTCCTTATGAAATTGAATCCAGAAATGCGCTTTCATTACCTATACACCAAAAAGATTTGAATTAATGACATTGAAATTTCGTGAATACAAAAGCGTGTTCACCTTTATTATTAGCAGATATCTGGTTCCTTGTCCAGGCTTGGCTGTATCATACTTTTAGTCATGTTTTGCTATATCAGCTTTTCAATGTTGGTACAAGGTTTTAGACGTTTAAATATGTTGGCCTCGAGCAGCACTGAAGAGACATTTAGTGTCGTAATGTGTATCAAATACAATGAAATTAGTACCGTTTATCGTTTTTACTACCACTGGGTCGAAATCTCTGCTGGAGAACTGTTAGTTCCTGAGGGTATCACCTGCTTAGTAGTTGGTATACTTCTGTCCTGGCATGAAAATGCAGATATTGTTTTATTAAATTTTTTAAAAACTAGTTATTTTGGAAAAAAGGAATGGGTCTCCTTATTTCCTTGTCTGTGTTTTGATATACGTATGACCTTTTTTTGTTTTAATCAGTTCCTTAACGTTAGTATAAAGTTTTTGCCTTGAGCATCACTGGAGAGTAAAATTGGTACCGTTAATATTATTAACCCCTTCAATATCAGACCCTAAAAATCGAATTATTATCTAATGATCTTACTCATACGCAATTACTATCACCTACTGAAATTCCTATATGTTTACACTATTTGCTACACAAGCATTACCGTAGCATCTGTCGAACAGGACTGAAAACTACACTCCACAAGTTTTATGTTCTCGATCACGACTGGGTTGAAAGTTACAATGTCTTAGCTAGACATATAGTATGTCATCGATATAACATATGAACTTTGTTCAAAGTAAATTACTACCGGCTTTGTTTGAATATTAAAAAGTTTAACTTTTGAGGCATGCGTAGAAAGAAATACCTACCTTGTCAGCGCATATGGTCTAACCCTATTTTGATTTTTTTTTGGTCGACTGTTTTCAATCCCATTTTAACTATAATGTATTCTGAACGTTGATTTATTCATAAGTTGAAATTTGGCTTTGCACTCGTCATCAGTAACTTGGAGGTTTCTTTTAAATGACCACTTTGTGTCTATGATCTTTGTATTATTAATTGTGGTGCTTAGTACTGATATATAATAAGTTAAGCTCTTTCCTGACGATTTTTAGTTTGTTCGAATGTTATGTCGTTACACCACCGTCCCAACACCTTTCAACAAACTAACAAAATGTTAAAAATTTTCCGATATCAATTTACATACCAAAATACAGATTTAAATGGATATCTAAACTGCTATAAAAATTTTGTACAAATAATGTATTTTCATTATGGCAAATATCTTAAAATAATTTATTCATGTCTTCTTTCATACGCAGTCTTGTATCAATTCATGTAATTAGAATTCTTTATAAAGATTTCAGCATTTTGTCTCCCATATTGTCTTTGGACTGTTTGTTTTGTTCAATATAAAAGTTTCATTTTTAAAACAGGTATAATCTGGAAATAGAGACGGTTTTTCCGTTCATTTGGACCCTTATGAAGACATTTGCCATAAATTCATTCAAAATCAGTGCACTTTAATAAAAAAATTCTACCAATTTTTGCATGATACGAAAAACGAAAGGTTTCTCTGTGTACTTTGATTAGTTTTTCTCTTTTTAAATTGTTTTCCATTTAGTCATCCTGGGGCCTTATACGGGATATTTTACGGTATGGGGTGTGTTAATTGTTGAAAGTCATACGATGACCTGTTTTTTTAACATCTTTGTCCTTCGTGTTTTGCTGGATAGTTATCTCATTTGCAATCTTAACACAACTCCTTATTTTTATTGTGAGGCTGCAACGCTATTATGTCGTATTTGTTTTAACTGTTTAAAAGCGTTTAATTGTTAGAAATTGTTGAAAAACGATTTTTATCAAAGTTAAAATATTTATCTAAAACACAAACAAGAACAAAATTCTGCCATTAGTACTCACTCTCTGTCTTTTTGATCTATTTTGATTATGGGTGTCATATTATTTTAAATACTCTGTTTCTACGCCGAATAGAAATAAATACCATTCTATCATTTTATTGTAACAAATATGTGTAATGAATGGTTTTATGTGTAGTAATCAGACTCTTTGATATCAAATTCCACCTCTTTCCAACAATGTATTTGAGTGTTTAATAATAGTTGATTAAAGACTGATCTGATCAGAAGATCTAGCAATTTTGACCAGGTCATAAATACAAAGCAATACAACAAATCTTTAAACTCACGGAAAGGGTAATGTGTGAATGAAAATAATACTTTATACTTTTATGGGTCCGAAGCATTAAAGGTGTGCACCGACATGCCAAATAGCTTATGGTTATGAGTAAAGAAGAAATTATAGATTCGACAATGTTATATCAAAAGGGAACAGCAACAGCTTCAAATAAAATATTCAGCGTAAAACTTCCTTCAGAAGAGATATTAGTGAAAATAAAAAAAAAAAATAATTAAAATACAAATATTTTATTTAAGTGAAAACAAATAAAAAAATGTTTATAATCGATAATTTGGAATAGGTTATGTACCTAAATAGATAATAAGCTATATTTTGATGAAAATATTGCATTCGTAAAAACTAGAACCGACTTCAACAGAAAAACTATAACATCCAAACTTTCACCCCGAGTTTTTGGTGGGGTTCGTGTTACTCATTCTTTAGTTTTCTATGCTGTGTTTTGTGTACTGTTGTTTGTCTTTTTCTTTTTTAGCCATGGCGTTGTCAGTTTATTTTCGACTTATGAGTTTGAATGTCCCTTTGGTATCTCTTTTAGCGTAAACTAAACTGATGCGTGTTTGATATCTAAAGGAATAAATCGGCATGCATTTATTTTGGAGATTATGCAGTTCATTTAAGTTACTCGATCTGTTAATGAATCTAAAAACAATGATAACTATTTTGTTTATTGTACTAAATAGATTTAGACGAGCAAAGTAAGACATTAAAGGGGCAATATCTACGATTTGACAAAACAAATATAATATTTCTTCTGTTTTAAACATTTATAAAAGCGAAATATTGAAATTATATTTCGCTAAAAGCCAACAGTTTGATTCAATTTTGTCAAAATAAGCTCAATAGCATCACTGAAGTATTATCTTGCATGTCAATAATTCAACACCATTTGAATCTTTGAATCCGTGTTCATGAGACCTTTAATTTGGTTCATTAGATCGACATTGGTTGATTCTGTGTGCAGCATATCCAGTTACTTAAAATAAAAGAATGTCAACATTGAAAAGGGATAAAGGGAACATGCAGGAAGAACAACAGCAATGACTGATTTGCCCCCCAAAACGTAATTCTTATATAGGTGAAACAATGATTTACAAACTTTTTTACATATAGTCAAACAGACCTAGACAAATCGTCATTATACGATTGCACCTACTTGTCTGTCTTTTTATTTTTATATTGATATTGGGTCAAATGATATTCTTCATTCTTCGGAGGTAATCTTGAATGAATTGTGATGGCGTCTGGTCTAAAATACGCACGAAATGCTGATACATTATAATACGTCAATGGATTGTTAATTGTTTCTTTTGGGCTTTTTATAAATTGGTATACGTTTTAGAAAGTTATAAATCCACTATGATAATATTATACAATCAGTGAACATGAACTGAAACAAAGTAGAATAACAAAAATACCGAACTCCAAGGAAAATTCAATTCGGAAAGTCCCTTATCAAATGGCAAAATCAAAAGCTCAAACATATCGAACGAATGGAAAACAACTGTCATATTCTTGACTTGGTACAGGCATTTCCTTATGTAGAAAATGGTAGATTAAACCTGGTTTTATAGCTAGCTAAACCTGTCCCTTGTATGACAGTCGCATAAAATTCCATTATATTGACAACAATGTGTGAACAAAACAAACAGACAGGTCATACCAATTTAAAAAAAATGAAGAGCTCATTATATACTTTAACGTTATTTCATCCGCACGATGATGATCAAATCATTTCAAACGACTTTGCACAAACAATGAAACAACAAAATAGTTCCTACGTAAAGTTCCTTGAAAGTATCTTATTATTACGTTTCTTAATTCAGGTAATATTTTCAACATACCAATCGGAATCTTTCTACTCGACACACATCCATACAAGCCGCCTATAGTCTATGTGAAACCAACAAATACCATGCGGATAAAACAAGGACCAAATGTTGATTGCAACGGTAAAGTAGATCTGCCATATCTCCAAGACTGGAAATATGTAAGTAAATAACAAATTGCCCTTAAAGGATTTACGCGGTAAACGGAAAGCGACATCAACCCAAAGCCACTAAAAAACAAAAGATATATTGAGGTCAATCTACCATCGTTAACAATAAACTTTGCAATAGTTCGAGCTCTTTGATCAGTCAGAGTCATGAAAAATTTCAAAAGTAGCAGAGATTATTTAATATGCGCCATCAACATTAAATTTCCTAAAAGACAAAAACATTTAGAATGGTTGGAGAGCTTGTTTACTTGGAACATGCACATAAAATGTGGGGATGTTGAAAAACGTGTAGAAATTTTTTAAATCTGGTATGTTTAGCACTAAACATTCACCTTCTTAAACTCGATTAGTGGACTAACAAAATGTACGTTAAAAGCGAACGAAAGCAAATGCACATTCTTTTCATCAATTTATTTATTGCTTTCAAGGTACTAATGAAAATGCATAAAATATGTTACATTACTAGTGTTTGCATGAACTAGTTTATTTTCATGATTTTCAAGGAACATTTTTAAGATTGTCTCTACTTTTCACCACAAACAGATATAAATCAAAGTCTGTGAATGGTTTTAACCAATTGTCATGCAGTGTTTTGTGTAAATGTGTGTATTTGTGTTTATCTGTGTGTGTGTGTGTGTGTGTGTGTGTGTGTGTGTGTGTGTGTGTGTGTGTGTGTGAACGTATCCATATCCTCCGGGTGTGGGATGTTCTCGCTGTGTTGAAGATCCCTTGGTGTCATTGAGCTGTTTTCTGCTCTTTGGTCGGGTTGTTGTCTCATTGACACATTCCCCGTTTCCATTCCCAATTTTATTTTTGTATATTTGTGCAGACTTTATGTATTCTTTTATGCCTGACCATATAAATAGCCTGAACATGACCAAACAAAATAGGCCATGTCCGTATTTGTTTTATAAAGGGTATTCATAATTTATAACAGCTCGAATCTAAATGTTTTTAATATTTGGAAGTTCAATTTTTTCCTTCTTTGCTAAAAACATTGTGTATTTGAATCTAATTGTTCTGGTATCGAAAGGACAAAAGAAGCAAACCCATTTTTGTGGTTATATTCATTGACAATAATATAGTTTATTATTTTCTTTGTAAGATGGTTTCATACATAAAAAATCTTTTTTTGTAAATCTTGAGAACTATATAATATAGTATGAATAATCCTTTACGGTATTTGTTTGATAGTTGTCTTCTAGACAATCATACCATATTCCCTTATTTTTATATCAGTATGCTTTGCTTTTCATGGCATGCTAGTCACCAAAACATCCTGATTGACAAAAAAAAAGGATGAAGGGTCGACCTACTGTCCTTAACGTTAGCATATCTTGTACAAGAATAGTACAACAGAAAGTCTCGGTAAAGTGTCTTTATTCATATCTTAACATCATGATTGAGTTTTGATAGTTTATCAGACGTGATATAAGTTCAATGCACTTTTGTTTGTTTATTTCATACGTTTTGGTTGTTTTTTTTCTCCCGAAAGTCTAATTCTATAGGTACTACTTTAAAATTTGGGAATAAGAAAAGTAATGGATAATGCAGACTACTAATTGAACTGTAAACTAAAATTTAAATAGCAATAAGTAAATCAAAAATTAAATTGGGTGTGACATTTGATATCTTTACCGAGTTCATGTTTGCAAATCAATTGGTTTTATGTGCATAAGTGGTACATACAAAAGAAATATGTTAATAAGTTAAATATTTTGACGAACAACTTTATAGAACTAAGATAAAATATATACTAGACAAAACTCATACATTTTAATTTCTTATTTCTTTAGAAATACTTAACAGATTTTAATATTCCCTCAAAAATTGTCCATCAATTGATGGTAAGATATAAGAATTGACTGTATATTTCCGAACAAAGACGGGTTCGGTTCGTTTGGAAGATTGAACACGTTCGAGTGCTTCAATCATACATTACAAAATAGTTCCTTGTCTAACAGTCTGCTTATGTATTGTTATTGGGTTAATAAACTTCAAACCACGCGATTCTTGAAAGTGAAATCTGCTTCAACAACTTTCCGAAATTGATACACATAAAGTACGCTTACAGTATGTCACAGAAAAGTAAGATTTAGTTAATATTGTTCTAAAAATATTAAAACCTTTACTTCTTCTATTTTCAGCCAGATTCAGATTTATTAGGTTTAATTCAATTATTATCAATAGTGTTTGAAGAGGAACCCCCAGTTTTTGCAAGGTCGACCAGTAAACCACAACTTAATCAGTTCTCCAAACCACAATACCCATATCAAAAAGGTGCGTTTTTAATATTTAAATAAGTTTATTTTGGCATTTATTTTTTAATTTACATGTTTACATTTTTTGGCACATCTTATAGAAATGCTCGGTTTCTAATGGTCACAAATTTGTATTTGATTTTGTCTTCCGTTTGTTTTGATTCAAACACAACTAATGAGTCTTGTGTAGACGAAACGTGCAACTGGCGTAAAAATATTAGCCTTGTATTTTTAATTCGTTTTTATATTGGCAACATACAAAAATCTTGATTGTTGCGAAAAAACGCTCTTTTAATTTTGCACATTTCACTTCGTGTTTATATATAATATTGCAGGTTGTCTTATCTGTTAAAAAACTTGCAATCATCCAAGATCGTCGCATATACACTTTTCATCTATAAAGTTTTTCAATAAAACCAATTTACGTGTATCGAATCAAAGTCGAAATAGAATAAGTTATATAGATACAATGCATGGAGAAGCGTTGATTCTTGAAAAAGAAACCATGAGCCCGGAGGGCGAATGGTTTGTTTTTCATGAATCAACGCTTATCCATTGTATCTATAACTTAAACTATTGTGTTAATGTCTTTTCAAAATTAAAGCCTTTTCTTAATTAGAAGGTATTGTAAGTAAGTTTAAATAACCATGCTATCGTGTCCAACGATGCATTAATAAATCTAAGATCACAATTAATTGGTTAAAAAAATACAAATATAACACAACACGTCTGCCTTTAAAGATCATTATATTTTCAGGCATCTGAATATTATCTGTTTTTACAAAATAAGACATATTCGAACTTATTTCTAATAAAATTGAGAATGCAAATGGGGAATGTGTCAGAGAGACAACAACCCGACCAAAGAGCATATACAAAGTATATATAAGTATATTACCGAAATTACTAGCACGAAGCCTAATTCTAGGCACATCACGATTTTCTCGCAGTGGAATTTGCGAATAAACATTCGTAAAATTATGTAGTAAAACAGATGAAATCATACTATATTTATAAAACAAAAATGGACAATTTCGTTTTAAATATGTGATTTAGCCAATAATACTCCAAAAAATAAACGGTAAAACTCGCTATTATTACAAAAATATCCACAATAACATACAAAAGTGGAAAAAAACAAAAAAACAACAGGAAAACTAAAGAATAGGGACAACAAAGAGAATACATGGATTCGAACCTAAACCGACAAGTCCCTACATTAAACCCATTGATCTTAACCATGCTAACCTCGCGACTACCATCTTATACTATACGATTGCCTATTATGTATATATAAAGGTACAAGCCCTTTGTGTTCGTTGTACCGATGTATATCATATGTTCATTTATATATATAAAATAGACATTTAAATTGTAACCCATTGGTAGCCGAGAGGTTTCTTCGATATGTTAATGTCAGTCACACATAACAGATTTCAGGGACGGGTTAGATTCCCAGTGAAGGCATATAGAAATTACTAAAATTAAAGGTAAGTTTTTAAATTAATTCCATTAGTGAACAGAAATCAGTAAATTAGCTAATTCAAACTTAATGAAATTAGGCACACAAAGGAAACAATTGAATATAATTTGGTGAGTTCATTTCAGCGACAGATTTAGGAAGCGTTGATTCTAGAAAAAGAATCCACGGTAAATGAATAGGCTGACGTCACGACAATGGTTTAATTTAGGATAATAACTATCAAATTGCCGAAAAAAAACACGAGCAAATGGTACTTTCCAATATATAAATATAAACCATGAACTAATTTTGTTTTATGAGAGCATATGAGTATTTTTACTTATGGCAGAGATAAATGTTAGAATACATAGTCTCTGTTTAATTTTACTAAAATCCAGAAGGCATATCATAAAAACTGAGGCAATTTTCTAATTAAGCATCAACATAATTTTATCAGTGTGTTACGCTTTAGTTAAAGTATGCCTGGAAAGGTATGTGATATGTTTTGTTTATCAAAGAGAGAGATGGAGACATTTGAGTAAATTTTTCAACTGTAGTCTTGTTTTAATATTTCGATACCTCTTTATCGATAGTGACAAAATCAAAACATGTTTAAACTAATGTATCGATTTAATTATAATGAATTCACGTAATATTTATCTTTGCAGAAGCTGGACAACGCTCATGTGCTTCCGCCACAGACCGAAGACTGCTTTGTACGGAGTGTAGATTAAATCCGCTAGAAGTAACAATCCAGCCATGTGGACATTTGGCTACTTGCGAATCTTGTTGTCGACGTCTTAAGAAGCAGCACAAAGAATGTCCCATTTGCAGTGGCCCAATAGACAATGTCGTGCGATTGTTTGTGCCAGAGTGACTTAATAATATGCATGACTAATTTTAACACTTATAACATTATGCAATATGGGAAAGAAATGTAATGGATATTTGTTTTGTAATATAAATAGATTGACTGACTTTTTTTTCGCAAAATAAAACATTTCATTCTTAGTGGTAAAAACATCAAAGCCAAACATAAGTATCTATTATCATTAGTTGTGTTGATATGTCAATTGTTTTGTACCTTTATCGTCATAAACATATAGAAATTTAAATATCGATTTGTTTGGAAATTTGAAATTAAGCAAGGATTTAGACAAAAAGATATTTTACACGCATCAACATCTTTGCTGAAGACAATTTGTAGCAACATATTTTGCAGTGTTATTGGGCATCGTATGATTCACCAGTAAAATTCGCAACATGTTTGCTTCTGATGATACCTTATCATGAATTTAGATGAAAAAAGAGATGGAAGGCCGAATAAAAAATAAACAAAATTATAAATACCCATGTAACAGAAAAAAAAATTAACATTATAATATCGTAAAAAAAATCTTAAGTTTTTACATTTGCATTATCATTTATAAATGTTTTAAGGAATAGTATCAGCATCTTATGGAGTTTGATTTGTGTATCTTTGTTCTAAAGATGATTTAAATGGAAAATATATTGTCATTCAAGTTAAAATGAAAGTATTTCGGGACACCGAAGGGATAATCAAACTCATTAGTCGTAAACGTCCTGACAATGATATGGCAAAAATAGAAAAACGACCTATAGACAAATAATAGTATACAAAACACAATACAGAAAATTAAAGACAGCCCACCAACCACACTAAAAAAAAGGTGAAACCTCAAATGCTCCGAAAGGGTAGGCATATCAGGCTCCACATGTGGCACCCGTCGTGTTTCCCATGCAAACTCGGTATATCACATTTAAGGAAAAAGATGATGGGATTGTGGTTTAGATAATTGGAACGTATCTGTCGTCACCTGTAAAACAGATATTCAATAACTATCAACAAACTTGTGATGGGTGGCGTTCGTAAAATATTTCAAAGGAATGATATAAATTCAACAACTTGGAACTTTTGGATTAAAAGCTTCCATGCAATACTATATTCGGTGACCGATTTTTAGGCAATGTCACCTTCAAACCAAACATGATCTGTTAGCTAACAAAAGTAATTCATACGTTAATAATGAGTCCTGTTTATTGTTTATTTCGGGACCGAAAAATTCGTAATAAAATCCATTACTGCCAAAATCAATAACATCCCCTTTAAATTTTAATTATGGAATTTTTCCAAAACTTTGCATCATTATGTTTTCTGAAAGAGAGGCGAAAGATACCAATGGGACATTCAAACTCATAAGTCGAAAATAAACTGACAACGCCATGGCCAAAAAAGAAAAAGGCCAACAAACAAACAATAGTACACAAAACCCAACATATAAAGCTAAGGACTTAGCAACACGAACCCTACCATAAACTGGAGGTGATCTCAGGTGCTCCGGAAGGGAAAGCAGATCCTGCTCCACATGTGGTAACCGTCGTGTTGCTCATGTTAGTACAAACCCGGTAATGAGTCTAATTCGGTAGGTCACATTCGGGAAAGGGGGGGGATTGTAGTTACGATGTTAGGGGCAAATCCGCTATCATCTGTGAAACGGATATTCCATAACGGTCAACCAACTCGTGATGGCGTCCATAAAATTTTTGGAATTTTGGAATTCTTGGTTTAATAGTTTTCTTGTGAGCAGCAATCCTCTATCAAGGAAATCATGATAGAAATGCAAGCCCTGGAATATCGTATCAACTGGGATGTAAATACTCCGTATGCAGGCGCTCCTGGAATGTTGCTACATAGAAATAGAAAGTTCACAATTGGGAAGCTGAAATCATCACTTTGATGTAAATTTTTGTTTTCAACCGACCCTCATTGTCTATTCCTAGATGTAAGTCAAGATATGAGACAGATTCAACTGGATCTGTTGTATCCCCTATCTCAAGTTCGATGGGACATATGCGTTCAATATAGTCACCAAATTTTTATTTTTATGTGAGAGAACATCTATATAGCGGAAAGTAAAGTTAAAGGAGACTGCTAACTTCTTTTCTTTCTTCCTAAGAAATTACGAAAACATCAGTTCAGGTACTGACCTATGAATATTTTTGGTTCATTTCAAAATCATTTGACATTCTGATTTTTGTTCATATAATGTCAGTAGACTATGAGCGTAAAAGCGCACAAGGTTAAGAATAAGACGATGCTCTCCCAAGCAGAAGAAAGGAAAGAAAAATTACCAGCAGCAATTCCATCACGATATTTACACATATTACGTTGAAACAACACTTGAAACTAAAATTTGCAGAGAAAAATGCAGTGGAAAAAAATCATCGCCCTGGTAAACACTGAAAAAATGAAGGACGCTATAGTAACTGGTTATTATTTTAATTCTGCATATTTCACCTAAAATTAATGTTTTGAAAAAAAATAAAATAACAAAAATACCGAACTCCAATGAAAATTCAAAACATAAAGTCCCTTAAAAAATGGCAAAATCAAAAGCTCAACAACACCAAACGAATGGAAAACGTTTTATAAAGTCTAAGTAGCAGCTGCAAGCTCTTGAATTCCGAATGAGTTGGGAAATGTATATTCCATATGCAGGTGAAGTTGGTATACTGCTGCTAAGGTGGGAGAAATTGATAACTGAGAGGCAAAGAAAAGGTTTATATTATGAATTCGGGTTTACAGTTTTGGTAACAAAATTTGAAAATTCTTGGACATGAAATATTAAAAAAAAGTGTAATGAAGTCAATTTTAGATCGCGCTAACTATCAAAAAATAAAATACCAAAAATACCGAACTCCGAGGAAAATTCAAAACGGAAAGTCCCTAATCAAATGGCAAAATCAAAAGCTGAAACACATCAAACGAATGGATAATAACTGTCATATTCCTGACTTCGTACAGGCACTTTCTATGTAGAAAATGGTGGATTAAACCTGGTTTTATAGCTAGCTAAACCTCTCACTTGTATGACAGTCGCATAAAAAATCCATTATATTGACATTAATATGTGAACAAAACAAACAGATATAATAGATATAAATGTCAAAATTAGGTGTACAGCAGTCAACATTGTGTTATAATTTTAATCACTAATTATTTATAGAAGTCAAGATAATTTGTTTTTATGTGTTTATATCTATCTGGCAGTTAATCACCTGACTAAAAATGGAAAGTAACGAACGAATGCTTACGTCGTATCTCTCAAACTTAAAGGTACAGGGTTTTTTTTTTAATTAATGTTTGATTAATTCAGAAAATTACAGTTAAATATTGTGTTAACCCGTCTTTGATTTTATGAATTGCTACGACATGGAAAACATATATATATATTACGGATTACAAATGTGTCGAACTTTGTTATTGGATTACAACACAGAGATGTCAGTATATATTCAGGAAAATGCCGGGGTATATACGACGTTTTTCACCCTAATTGGAACCTCAACAACGTCATCATAACGAACGTTACTATGTGACGTAGTCTTAAGCTATGCAGAACACTTAAAGAACGTCAGAGGCTCACAGAGGAAAAATAATGGCGTGTATCCGTCAATAATACGTTTTTCATTTAAAATCACGCAATATACACATCAAATACTTAATTATTGTCTTAAAGTGTTATTACAAATTGTTGCATACACGATAGAATTATTTTCACAGCAAGTTACAAAATCCTGCACGTATGCGGAAAATATATATACTGCATGGTGAATGTTTAACAAATATCTGGTACTGGAAAAACCATTAAGGCAGGAGTAATCCGTAATATATGTGTAATTCAGGTATCGGACAGGGAATATAAACTCTAAGCCGGTAATGTCACATTATATAGCCGGTCTGAGACCTGAATAACATATAATATATATATATATGTCACGATGTCTCGATATCCCAATAGCATGAGTTCGAATCCCAGCGAGGGAAGAACAAAAATTTGTTTCCGCAAATTTGCAGATTTAACATTGTTGTGCTGATATTTAGAGTAATTATGAGAATAAAATATATGTTTTTAGCGGTCTACCACCTTCACTGGTGATCCAATGGATGCATCTGTCGTAGAGTTGTCACTTGTTTAGACGTACATATCAAAATAATAATTTCTGTGACTGAATCTCACGATCCTTTACGATGGATATTTAGCTAATCTGCAATCTATTCCATTTTCATGCCTAATATATCATGTACTGTGTTACAACTCTAGATTCTACTGACGAGGAAAGGTAACACTAGGCCACCGAAAGCTGAATTATAAGTTCAGTAACATGTGGTCTAGAGCGCTGGACACAGTGCAGGCGGTGTTGTCTCGATATCCCAATAGCATGAGTTCGAATCCCGGCGAGGAAAGAACAACAATTTGCTTCCGCAAATTTGCAGATTTAACCTTGTTGTGCTGATATTTAGAGTAAATATGAATTATGAGTTTTCAGTCGTGTATCACCTTCACTGGTTATCCAAGGGATAGAGTAGTCACTTGTTTAGACGTACTCATCAAAATAATTATTTCTGTGACTGTATAAAACCAGGTTCAATCCACCATTTTCTACATAAGAAAATGCCTGTACCAAGTCAGGAATATGACAGTTGTTATCCATTCGTTTGAGCTTTTGATTTTGCCATTTGATTAGGGACTTTCCTTTTTGAATTTGTTTGAGCTTTTGATTTTGCCATTTGATCAGGGACTTTCCTTTGTGAATTTTCCTCGGAGTTCAGTATTTTTTGTGATTTTACTTTTTATGATCCCTTACGATAGATATTTAGCAAATCTGCAATCAACTCCATCTTCATGCCCGATATATCATGTACTGTGTTACAACTCTATATTCTACTGACGAGGAAAGGTAACACTAGGCCACCGAAAGCTGAATTATTAGTTCAGTCTAGGTAGCCGTGTGGTCTAGAGCGCTGGACACATTGCAGGCGGTGTTGTTTCGATATCCCAATAGCATGAGTTCGAATCCCGGCGAGGGAAGAACAAACATTTGCAGATTTAACATTGTTGTGCTGATATTTAGAGTAATCATGAATATAATGTGTTTTCAGCCGTGTATCACCTTCACTGATGATCCAATGCGTAGAGTTGTCACTTGTTTAGACGTACTTTTATATATATATATATTTATATGGCAGTCAGCAGGGTTTAAGAACATTTGTTGTTCGACCTGTTAGTCAAATGCGTTTTGTAAAAATATA